TGTTGGGTCAAATTTGTGTGGAGGTTGAAAAATACAGGGGGAGTCTTTATGGCCCAAAAGTGATTTTAGACCACATTGGTAGTATTCGGCATGTAATTACAGTAATATTTTTAGCAAATTTCTTTGAAAAATTTTTCGTAGGCATAGGGTCTAGGCCTAGATAGGTATTACAGTAATTTCATTTTACAGTAGTTTGGAACGATATCAGGAGTGGGGTGGTGGCAGTGGCCTACTAGGACTACAATTTATTTGAAGCTATCTTGGGTCCGATCGTCCACACCAGTTGGGCCCAATCGTCTGTCACCCGAAGTTTTCATTAATGATCAAGAACGTATACTATCTAGGCCCTAGGCTAGGCTTAGATTGCTGCTGTCACTCTGCTACGTATACTACTACCGCATAACAAAGAAAGCGACCCACGCGGTGCATTCCTAAATTTTACACACATTATTAAAATGTATTAGACGATAACACGATATCACTGACTGAACGACCTACCACCCTCGCTCGTATCGCAATAACTACTGTACTGAACTAGGCCTAGCTTAAGGGGTCATTCAAGTATTATGTAACGCAGAGGGGGGTGGGGGTATAGTGGAAAATGTTACAGTGTGTGACATCTGTCTCTTATACGACATGGGGTGGGGGGTGTTGCTTGAAGTGTTACATAACAAAATTAATTTTCATGGGAAGAGAAGAAATATTAAATATTCAAACTTTATTACTTTATTGAAATATATTACATCAGTGTAATACAATGTAATGTAACACAGTTGTGTTGAATTTGTGAAATCAATAAACAATGAAGTTACATCTACCATATCAAAAAATAACAAAACATCCTACAAATTTGTAGTGGAGGACATTTATCCTGATTACTTAATGTTGTTCATCTGATTTTATTAAAATTGTCAATATTTGCCAAAAAAGGTTCTAGAGTTACATAACATTTAGAGGGGGGTTTGGAAAAGTGTTACAGAGTGTAACAGGGGGTGGGGGTGTTAATATTTGCCAAAAAATGCGTTACATAATACTTGAATGACCCCTAAGCCTCATGTTTTTGTGGAAAGTTAGATAGTCGTTATGTACCCGACAGTCGGCTGCCTTACATCTTCCCTTGTCTTCCATTTGCATTCAAAAGGTACATTGCTGCATAGCCAACTGTCGGGGATATAGTATCTTCATATGACTACTCATACAACAGAAAAAAAACGTCGCATGGAGTTAGTGAAAAATGGAGATCTCAATGAAAGACGATGTATTTCAGCAAGTATTAAAACCTTTTTGTTTTATTTTAGGCCTTCTTCAAAATACCTATGCCATAGCAGTTGATTTTTTTTTTGCCGTAAAACCAAAATAGTTTCATCCATGCCAACTTGCCGATCGGTTAGCGTGAGCCCTGACTGAACTCTGCAGAAAATTCACATCGAACTTGCATCGCGAGGTAAAACAAAATGTCGGAAAAATTTTTCTTTGACGCATGCGCATTTTCATAAATGTCTACACACGCACACACACACACACACACACACACTACACACAATAGAACACAAAGGAAAATGAAGAGTGATTACAATAGTTCTACATTACATGCATAGGAACTAAAAAGGAGTAAATTTTTATAACTTCTTTTCTTTGGGAGGTTAAGGTGGTAGGCATAAAAGTAAAGTATTTTTCATGAATGTTATTGAACTTTTAATTGTCAAATTAAAACACAATTAAAAGCATTTGAAAAGTATGAAACGGTGTGGGATCTCAAATTAAGATATATTGAAAAATTATAGATTATAATTGTGAAGTATAAACCATACATTTATATACATATCATATACACAATAGTGGCAATAATATAGATATTATCAGATAATAAACATGGAAAAAGAAAAATTAGTAATAATAAAATAAGAAATGAAAAAATGCATAATAATTAATAATAGGCTTACCAATAATAATGATTTTTGCTCAACGTTACTGCCCTACACTGAAGCAAACAGCATATCGCCAAATGTGACACATATCAAAATAGCTATCTTAAAAATGCACCTTATTATTTTTGGAAACCAGACAACTTGTAGGTCTTTTTGAACAAAAAACAACCCTCATTCACTGTCAACTATGGTGTTATAAAGGTCATGAAATTATTGATTAAAAAAAAATCCATATGGCCTACCTGTAATTCCAAAAATCCCAAGGTTTAATGAAAATTTAACAAAAGATCCCAAGGTGTCATTAAAAATATCAAGATCTTGGGATAAATCGCAAGCAGTGGTCACAGTGAGTGGATTGTTTATATCCAGTCCAAAGTTAGTTCACATGACGCCCATTGCTAAATCCCTTTATTATGATTAACGATAAAAATGTAAGTTCACGTAGTTAGCTGAACCCACTACAGTAAACCTTAATGGTTACTGTTCCATATCTATTTAATATGTTACCTTATTGTACATTAAACTTAAATCAATTATCCTAGTCATAACGTGAACACGGCTCATAAGTACAGTACATTAGTGGTTCCCAATCTTTTTGCGTTCGCGGACATGCCAAAATCTTCACGGGGCCCCATGCCCAAATAATACTTATTGTCCATATCTACAGACAGAAAATGATTCGCACAAAATTAAAATATTAAACAATGGAGAATCCTGGAATTCAGTCCCCACTATGGTTGGGGCTGGAGTACAACATTGTTTTCTTTGCCACTTCTAGATGAATGGAAATGGCACTATCAGGCTCTTTGAAGATAATTCTCTTTTATCCACATCCCCATTTAATTTTTAATGTGTAAAATTTTGGGCGACTCATGGTTGATATTCCGCCAATAAGATTATGGATAGAAGATGATTCGCCACATTGCGATATATCATGGATTTTGGAATTCGACAATGACAGGAGAGGAGGGGGTGCAGACAGTAAATTTTACTGGTTGGGGATATGGTCCGGGACACTTTTATATTTATGACACTTGTAGATGACCAGAAATGACACAGTCAGACTCAAAATTTGAATGTAATATTCTGTTATTCCCCATTTACTTTTAAATGTCAAATTTAGGGCTCCCTCCTGATTTTTAAAATTTATTAAATATCCAGGTCAAAAATACAAGAGAAAACATGTAAACAAGATGTACATTACCCGAGGATTGCCACTATCAAGTCTCCTATACTGAACACCTTTAAAGAGAATACAAACAAAACTAATATAAAGATTCTATCAGATCACCAATAAAATATTGGAATTAAAATATACAGTAATGCCAATTAAAACAATTTACAGTGCCTGTCAAAGGTATTTCATTATAAAAAAATAATGGAATCATGAAAAAGTTGTTCTAATAATCTAGCGGAACCCCACATTTTCGCGGACCCCTTTGATTTGGCGGACCCCCAATTATTTTTCGTGGACCCCTAAGGGGTCCGCGGACGCCAGGTTGGGAACCATTGCAGTACATTACTAACCTTCTACTGGCATTCGAGCAAGTTACCAGTTTGACCTGAGTAATGCAACGATTTGGAATCACCAATACAGTTATAATCCAAACAACTTCACACAGTAATTCATATCTAAGGAGTGTTTATAAGTTTATTATACATTATATACTGCAATTTATTATAATGTGGACTAAGCATCTATAAAACTGATAATAATGAATAGACTAAATGAGAGTAGGCCTGTCCTCAATAAGAGTACTAATTCAATCTTTAACTATAATCATAGAACGTCTTATTCAATATAAACTTACATCAGCTTCTTCCCCAGAACCTGTTGCATTGAATCCATGAACTGAATTGATATACTCAATATACTGTACTGCCAGTCCGTGGACGCCAGGATGGGAACTAACCTTCTACTGGCATTCGAGCAAGTTACCAGTTTGACCTGAGTAATGCAACGATTTAGAATCACCAATACAGTATAATCCAAACAACTTCACAGTAATTAATATCTAAGGAGTGTTTATAAGTAATAATTAGAGTATACATTATATACTGCAATTTATTACAATGTTGACTAAGCATCTATAAAACTGATAATAATGAATAGACTAAATTAGAGTAGGCCTATCCTCAATAAGAGTACTAATTCAATCTTTAACTATAATCCTAGAACGTTTTATTCAATATAAACTTACATCAGCTTCTTCCCTGTTGCATTGAATCCATGAACTGAATTGATATACTGAGTACTGCCAGTGACTACCTCAAAAGAGTTATTTATGCTAATGAGTTAAGGGAAAGATAAGAGAGCACGTCGCTATAACAATTATTTTCTGTTGCTAAGGTAGAATGACAAATCTCGAAGGACATTGTTAGGGAGATTGATATAAGTTCACCATCTGTAACCTAGATTTCCATCACCACAAACTTGTGAATTGCATAGTTTCTGAGGTCTATGACACAGGCCTATTCTAACTCACAAGTTTCATCATCAGACAATGTAGTGTTGGGTGCTCTTACACGGAGGTACTTTCACACGTGCCGTAAAATGTTACCTTTGGTTACATTTTGTTACATTTGGTAAGATTTTTGTACGTGTGAATCGGGTATTACTCACAAGTTTCATCATCAGACAATGTAGTGTTGGGTGCTCTGGTTTCTAAGAGCATTTGAACAATTACGACTGCGACGAGCAACTGAAACACAAATCAGCATAGCCAATATTTAATTATATTTACTTAAAAAGAAAGAAATATAAATACTGAATTTAAAAACAATATGCCATTCCATATGGAGGCCCCTACAGTACACGAAGAAGTTAAAATTATCATTTTATTAGGCCTGGTTGGGGTAGCTATAAACCTTACATAACGAAACTCCATAATAAAATACACCAACCCTCTCTCCCCTACCCCACCCCCCTCATTAGGGGCCTACTACTACTAGTATCCCAGCCGTATTTACGTTTAAAGTAAGTGACATCACTAAAAGCTAAATCAGCAAAATTAATGGTATTTTGAAGGAAAATAACAAACATAGGCACATACTCTATTATTATTATTATTA